CAAAGCAACAATCTCTTCAAAAAGACTTCAAAGGATGTATCGCTTACTAGTTCCTCCGGCAGTGATGTAATGTGTGCATTACATTTAATAGTTGGCTATGTTCATTCTAAAATGTTTAACCGGTATAGAAATTGGCACTATCCGTTAGAGTGAGTAAATCAGAGCGCAGCAACTTTCATTGCAATTCTATCATCCTCTCAGCTAGCTATCTTGGTCCGAACCGATTATATCAGACCGTACCACATTTTCCTCTAATGTTCGTCCTATCAAACTAGAAAACAAAAATATGATACACCGTATCCACCATTTCCGAAATTATGGCAGCATACTCACGACGAAGAATATTGATTTATTTCTTCATCAAGATAACATTGTCACATTTTTGTAAATAGGTGTATAAACATACCTCTCCCAGCGATGAGAGGCTCTTAATAGCTATTGCTGATGACTGGCTTGAAGATCTTCGTTGCTGGTCTGACACGGGCGTCACATCTTCGGATCCAACAATCGTCTCATCTTCATACTCTGCCTGCGCCATTAAAATGGAGCTATTGTCCTGCTTCGTGCTAATTTCTAACACCTCAGGTCTCGCGTGGCCTGTTGCTCCCAAAAAGTTTGAACTAGTCGTTTCCATTCCGGAGTCAACGTCATAATCCTCGTAATCAGCAGCTGCCATTTCTTCTACCTTATCTATGACGAACTGTCTAGCACGCAGACTAGATTGCCGAAGCGGCCGTCCACGGCGAGCGGTGGAAAAGCTTAAACCACTGGTGGCGATGGAGCAAGGTAATACTGGTGGGGCTAAGGAAGAAGCATCTGTAGCAGCACTCCCATTGCTAACACCCGTGGAACTGCTGCCAAGAGTACGCCGACGTTTAACGATTGCACCTGGAGTTCCTCCAGCGGCAGCGTTTGCTGCAGATTCACCCTCTTCGGAAGCCACAAAATCTTCATCGCTGGAATCAATATTAGCAGAGGTAGCCCGACGTCCAGGTGTCTGAGAGCCGGCTCGTTCACTGGGTGCATAGCTCGGTTCAGAAATGTGATCTATTGATGTGTTTAGAAAAAGTAGAATATTAAAAGTTTTAGAAAAGCTAAAAATGAAATCTACAAAAAGATAACATGTAGAATAGGACGTTTTTAAGCTATACGCAGTTAGTTACATGTAGCACTAGAGACCAAATATTAGTAAAAATGTCATTACATTAATAGAGCTTAAAAGTATTCGGCTTTTTAAAGTAGTTATATAAAGTTTCATTGTGAAGGTATAACACCTTAGCCAGTCCATGAATCATTTAAAATTTGATAAATTGAAATAGACCAGACTTGGGCTGCCTTCGTTTTCACAGAATACTCATATCCTCAGGAAGACGTCAATAAATATATCGTAATACTTCCTTCACCGCCAGTGTTGATAGGTGTTATTCCAGCATTGGATAATTTTGGCTTTATTCATACCCAAATATCTAATTGGTAATGTAGTTGGTATAGTTGGCATATTAGTTGATAAAAAGATCAACTTTTTAAGATAGTAACACATGAATGCTAAGTAATTATGGCAATGTTAATTTGGACACAGCGCAATTTCTCACTGATAAATCGTTATCATTAAAGTTGAGTACGAATTCAAATTCATCTTAAACTCATCAGCGTTCAATGGAAAATATAAACCATATTAAGGAGATAGGTTTGTTGTCATTTTAATAAAGACATAGTTGTTATAAGTGCATGTACCAACAGATAATACAAAAAAAGGAAATTCTACATACATGACTAAGTGAAAACAATACAGAATTGCAGAGAAATAGAGAAAAATTGGGGTTCGAAGAAGCTCTTAGTAGTTGAAGTTTGAGTAATATTCATTACGTTTGTAGAGGCGAGTGAAAGGAATTCATAAGTTGGCCTAAGAGAAGGCTGAAGAGAGATTGCCTTGGAGCTATGACTGTAAATTTGTGCGAATAGGCTCTTTGCAGACCGAACTGAAACTCCAATGAAACTTTGCTAAGCTGGTGGCCTGATATAATCCCACCTATTTCTTATAGCCTTACTTTATCCACTTAATGAAATATCCCATGCTTTGGTTGGAGATTAAAATTTTTTGCTAAGAACTAACAACTAATAACTAAATATTAAACGGATGCAATTGTAACCGAACAGTTTCATTTTCGCATAACTTACATTTTGATCCCGAAATGTTGACGTGTGTGAGTGTATTCCATTGCATTAATTCATAAGTATTCTTAAACGAAATCAATCACGTCTCGGAGATTAATTAATTATGAATTCGCTATATGGACGACTACCTTTTCGTTTGCGGCATGGAAAATAAAACCGGGATAATTGTATTTGATTGAGAAATGGTTTAGACGGGAAAACAAAATGTATCCTCAAGTTAAAAAAAAGTCGTAGTTAGCAAAGGGAACCAAATTAGATATAGATGTCTAGGAATCAACCCAAACATAAGATTCCTTCTTGAATTTCTTTTCCCTCTACACTAATGGAATTAAGGTAAGAGTTATGATGTCAAGCTGACAAAGAGCCTGCATCTTGTAGATGTTTATCCTAGGGTCCAGAAATTAAGGCGACTAAAAAGAATCCTGGTCGAGAAAAATAATCCGGCTGCAAG